GGCTGTCCTCCAGAGCCCCCAGCTCAGCCCGCTTCCCGCCGTGGCAGCCTGGGCCTGGGCTCTGCCTGTGGCTGTCCTGTCTGCCTCAGAGGGCAAGACCCCATGACGAGGCCTCCTTCCCAGGGAAGCAGGAGCCCGTGCCCTGCTGGGGGCCTCTGTTCCTTCCTACTGCTTGTGCCTGACTCTGCCTGGAGGTCCCCAAATGGAGCTTCATCTCTGCCCTGTTCCTGGCCATGGTGGTCCTTGTCCAGGGATGTCCAGGCTGGAGGGCAAAAGAATTTGGGCCTCGGCACAATGGGGTGGGATGTCCCCCACCATCAGCCCACAAGGCCCGTCTGTAAAGGAGTAGGGAGAAGCCTGGCACTGGGCCCAACATCCTTGCTGAGGTTTGGGGATGGTTTGAACCACCTTCCCCACAGAGCTGCACGGGGAAAATGGAAGAATTCTTTCTATTCGGAGCCTTCCTAGAGGCCTCAATGATCGACCGGAAAAATGGAGACAAGCCAATCACGTTTGAGGTGACCATAGGTGAGTGCTGGGCTCACAGAGGGGTCTTCAGGCCTGGGAACTGCTGGGTAGTGACCACCAGGCCCTGCACCACAGGCGGGGGCAGGGGAGGGAAACTTTGACCGCTTCCCTTTGCACGTCCTGAAGCACCCACATAGTACCCAGTGTACCTACGCGAGGGCACACACCCGCCCACAAGGGTACCACCTGCAGGGCTGAGCTGTGTTCCGGACATGAGGAAGAAAGTCTTCCCTGCAGAAGGGAGAGGGGACAGAGTAGGAATACAGCCATGCCCGAAGCTGGACCTCGAGCTCAGCGGTCAGCAGGGCCGTTAGCAAGATCTTCGCAAGGGGCGGAGGACGTGGGCGCCTTCCCCTGGCTAGCGTTCTATCGTGTCCCAGCAGGTAGACTCGTGGCACCCTCCCCACTCCCTGATTCACCTCTTCGCTCCCACAAACCCGAAGCAGTGGATCAGCTGGCAGGAGCCTGGGGGGAAAGGACTCTAGGCCCTCACCCGCCGCTTTCTGCCTCCAGGCAACTATGGGAATGAAGTTGATGGCCTGTCGCGGCCCCAGCGGCCTAGGCCCCGGAAGGAGCCTGGGGATGAGGAAGAAGTAGATCTGATCCAGAACTCCAGTGATGAAGATGCCGGTGAGGGTGGGGACCTGGCCTCGGTGTCCTCGACTCCGCCCATGCGGCCCCAGATCACCGACAGGTGAGCCAAGTACATGCAAGGTCCTGAGAGGCCCTGCCTGCCGCCTCCCGACTCTCACGGCCTGGCCCTCCCACCTCCGGGGGCCCTAGTCCTCAACCCCCCACCTCCTCCCACCCAGGAACTACTTCCATCTGCCCTACCTGGAGCGCAAGCCCTGCATCTACATCAAGAGCTGGTGGCCCGACCAGCGTCGCCGCCTCTACAACGCCAACATCATGGACCACATCGCGGACAAGCTGGTCAGGGCCAGGCTGGGGGCGCGGGGCGCTTCGGAGGGCCTTGCCCAGCTTGGGAGCCTCCCCTGCAACACACAAGGCAGCCTGCCCAGCAGCTTGCCATGGGGAGGGTGGGGGACAGGGGGTGAGGATCGCAGGAATAGCCCCAGCAGGACCTCTGTTCCTGTCCCTGCTCCCATGTCCCGGGAGTGGGCGGAGGGCCCAAGGGCTACCTGGAGTGGAGTCCGGGAGTCCTGGCCCATCCGTTCCTGGTGTCCCCTGGGGGCCGCTGGCCACTCCCTCTGTCTGTGGCCCGCACTGCCCTCCCACCCCCCATCTAGCCCTGAGTTCTGCCCAGTCCCAGCAAGTCCACCGGGACCACAGCCCCACAGCCCAGAGGGGGCTTCTTCCTTCTGGAAGAAACAGAACCTGGGGAATTGGTGGTTTCCGTAAAGTGGCAGGACCCTGGGGAAGGGGCCGGGGAGCATGGCGCTAGTGAGAGGTCCCAGGTCGCTAGCCCCGCGGTCCCCTGATGCATGGGGGGAGACGTCTGGGGAGGCTGAGGTTGGGGGGCTGGGGCTCAGCCTCACTCCGGGGCCACAGGAAGAAGGCCTGAACGATGTGCAGGAGATGATAAAGACAGAGAAGTCCTATCCGGAGCGTCGCCTGCGGGGTGTTCTGGAGGAGCTCAGCTGTGGCTGCTAGTGAGACGAGAGGGTGGGGAGTGAGGGGCTGGAAGGGGGGGGCTGGGCAAGGAAGGAGGTATCTGCAGGCCCCCTGCTGGCCCGTGGGCTCCGCTGAGCCCTGCCCCCCTTGTCCCCCAGCCGCTTCCTCTCCCTCGCTGACAAGGACCAGGGCCACTCGTCCCGCACCAGGCTGGACAGGGAGCGCCTCAAGTCCTGCATGCGGGAGCTGGTGAGGACACACCGGGGCTGGGGGGGAGGGTGCCGGAGGTGGTGGAGGGACATCTGTCTCCGAGGTCACGGCCACCGGGGCCAGCCCCCTCCACCATGCAGCATGGCCTGAGCCCCACTCATAGCACCCTCCACACACACACAGGAGAGTATGGGGCAGCAGGCCAAGACCTTGCGGGCACAGGTGAAGCGGCACACGGTGCGGGACAAGCTGAGGCTGTGCCAGAATTTCCTGCAGAAACTGCGCTTCCTGGCAGACGAGGTGTGGCCCCCGTCAGCGCGCGGAGAGGGGGTGCCCGTCCCCTAAACCGGAGTGACTAGAGCGGAGAAGGGGTTGCTGCACAGGAAGGGGCTGGGCAGGACCACCGAGGAGGCCCCTCCTTCTCTGACAGCCCTCAGGGGACAGGGGTGGTGAATAAGCCCTTCGTCCTG